GCTCCTCACCCGTTGCGAAGTAATGAACCCACGGATGATCGAAAACTTTGAGAAGCTTCTGGAGCTAAATCCTCAAACATGTTTTATGACTTTGTACTACCTTTATTTAACACAGGATGTCAGTCCTTCAAGAAATATTCCCAATCGTGTAGTATTTTCCGATTTCGGCAATTCAGTGGATTTTGATTTATCTAAGACGCAGGAAATCCGCGGAATTCCAGAGCATCATCGTCCTATGATTGCTCCGTCAGTATACTCTGCAAAGTTTGGCCATATTGATTCTGCAAGAACGTTTTTCACAGATGGATCTCTAATAGAGGAGTCCTCTGGTTTTGATGTATTTAATGAATTTCATAGCGCCTCTCGAAAACTGGAAGCTCCTTGTTCTGTATATATGGCTGAACTGGCAGCAATTCACTACACTTTGGAAACTATTGTTTCACTTCTTCACGTTTATCCGTTCCATTAGGCCGGTAAAGCACTTCTCGTATTTTCTCTTGAAAATACGAGAGCTGCTTAGTGCTTTATCTGTGCACTCTTTCATCATCACCTTCGCGTGGGTCCCTTCGCATTGCTCAATTTTGGGCAATGAGGAAGCGGATTCACTTGCGAAGGTGGGCATTTACGATCGACAAATCGCCTATAGTGAATTTTTCTCTATTTATCGTCAGCAGTCGCTCGTTAGCTGGCAATATCAATGGAGGGAAGGGAACTTGGGACGATGGCTATATTCAATTATCCCTAAGGTGTCGAAGTTTGCATGCTTCAAAGGGTTGGGCTTGGGTCGAGACTTCATACGCGTGATGTCTCGTCTCATGTCCAATCACTATTGTCTAAACGCTCACTTGTTCCGTGTGGGGTTGGGAGACAGCAATCTCTGTGAATGTGGACAAGGTTACCAGGACGCTGATCACATCCTTTGGTCTTGTGCGGAGTATCGTGGAGTTAGATCACATTTTTATGATTCCCTTCGGGGTCGAGGTAGACAACCTAATATTCCAGTTCGGGATATTTTGGCTAGACGCGATCTGGAGTTTATGAAACTCATATATGTTTACTTTAAGAATATTAACCTTAGATTTTAAGTTTGATTAATCTTGTATTTAGTTTGTATATTTTACGCGTGGGTTTTTTTTCAATGTTTGTTTTCAAGATGAATAGAAATAATTTCATGTTTTAGGATTAATTAAATATGTGTATCGTAAACCACATTTCAAACCTCCTTCTCCCTTTTCCCATCCAAAAAATGTAAATCTCCACTAACATCGAGACAACCGCGAGTTGTCGGTTCAGTTCCTTTAACTTTATATATAAGACAGTAATAATGTATGACGAAAATGATAACTCGGCTCTGTAAAGTTTATTCAATTGAGCCTGTACAAATAAAGTAATTATTAAAAAAAATAACTAGAAGGGTCTGTGCCTAGGGGCACGAACGGAAGCTTGACGTAGGACCGCTAGTGGACGGAATTAATGTGAAGAGCATTTAGTTCTTTTAATTGATCAATTATTATCTATTATCTCTCCATCCGTTTTTGAAATGTAGGCGTACCAAATTTGTAGTAATTTTTTTCAAAGAAAACGTTGATTAAGAGACTCAATTAAAATCACTTGCACCCCTGCTTCCAAGTTTGGTTACAAGATTACAACTCTGGAGAGCATTTTGTGTGGTCGTTGGGGGCTTGTGGTTCTGAATATGGACAAACAAGCACAGATAAATTCTATTTCAACTCTTAACTAATGTAAGCTTGATGGCCCTGAAAAGGGCCGTTTTATTGAAGAGGACATTTATGGCCACTTACGCTTGGTGTGTTTAGTGTAGGTGACAGCAGCACGGACCTCACTTTCCAGGAACACTTTTAGCACACCTAGTAGATCAGACCGGAGATACGTTTGACACCACCACTGCGAGCCAGACGACCGATGGCGGTTATCTCGAAGAACTTTGCAATGACGCTTGGCGCCTCCTTTACCAGACCTTTTCCTCCTTTGCCACGACCAGCCAATTGTTGCTTGTTGTGTGTGAAGAAGTGGACTACCCACCACCTGCTGCTATTGCTGCTCACCACGCCGTCCGAAGCGAAAATGAGCTAATGCCATACAGCAGCGCTCTTTTATATCTTTTCAGGTTAAAGCAGAATGATGTGCAACCAAGTGGTATATAAGCTACAAAGACTCCTCCCATTATGAGTAGTTTGCTATCAAGTAGCGACACTGGCTCTTTTCCTTTTGCGTACATGGCGAATGAGAACGACCCAAATTTGAGTTTAGTTCACTCATAATCGCCAAAAGTGCAGGAACTCAGCGATGAGTAAATTTGTCTCATGTTTCCTGTGGAAAACCTAAAAAATCTGCCAGAAAATGAAGAAATTGAGTAGTACCAATTTTTACTTTTCTCAAATTCGGGAACTTTTCCCTGGAAAATCCTGGAAAAACCTGGGAAAACATGAGGCAAATTTACTCATCGCTGAGTTCCTGCACTTTATTTCTTATTTCTGAGAAAACTAAACTCAAATTTGGGTCGATTTCATTCGCCGTGAAATCACCTTGAAAGATATCGGCGCCGGTGGTTAGCGTGATTACCTCTCACCCCAGCAGGCCTGGGTTCAACCTCAGTCGCACCGGCATGCAGTGCTGTAAATTTTCATATCATTCGATTGAAGATGAACCACTACAACCATTCAATCAATTCTGTGTAAACGAATTCTCACATGACCATAATTTGAAGAGCCCCTTTCTCATTCGAATCTCATTGTCACTGTCAATTGAGTCACTTAGTATCATTTGATATACGACAGTGGAGTATGGAAGAAATCCAGGAAAATGGTCCCGAACAGACAAGTCGACCCGATGTCGGATCAATGTGAGGCTAATTTAAGGTCGATGTCGACCCAATGTCGCGTTAATGTCGGGTCAATTTTGGGTTTATGTCGGGTCAATGTCGGGTCAACATCGGGTTGGGGTTTGATAGACGTCAGTTTGGTGTCGGGTTGGCTTAGCTTTTTCGCCGGAATGTCGACCAGAGCTCCGTTTGTGTGTAGGTTACACTCAATCGAATGATATATAGCGTTTCTCAAATGAGAATGATCCATGCCTTCGTCAAATGACTAAGCAACTGATATCACCCATTCGGAGGAGGTCCCCTTTGATAGCGAATAGCTACTTTTCTCATTTTCATCAAAAATGTTCAAATGATTTTGAGAATTTACAGCACTGCCGGCATGTTCTAAGGCATAACATCTCTGATCACGCCTTCTTTCGGGAAGTAAAGCCGTTGGTCCCCTGTTCATGAGTTGATGGGTCGATATGTTGGGTCCAGGTGTGGGAGCTGCCTCCCTGGCGTCAGTAGAATTGGAGCTCAGTACGGAAAACAAATCTCGCGTCACTTTTCAATAGGTCCTATCTACATTGATCGATTCTCTTCATCGACACTCTCTTTCGTAAATAACTCGGCTTCACAAATGTTTCCTGCCGTCTTCGTCGAATTAGATGCTAGATTGTTGCTTTTTGCATCGAAAATATCCGGCCTTGGCGATTCAAAGTTGAACAAGGTTGATCAAAATAATTTGTACCCCTGCTTCCAGTTTGATTACATGAACATTTTGTTGGGTCGTTCGTTCTAAATATGGACAAACAGGCAGATGAATTCTATTCCTACTCTTTACTGTAATAAGCTTGGTGGCCCTGAAAAGAGCAGTTTTTTTTGCCAAAGTTGGTGATGATTTAACCTCCGAAACCAAACAGAGTGCGTCTCTGTCACTTCAAAACGTAGATGACATCCATGGCCGCTTACGCTTGGCGTGTTTAGTGTAGGTGACAGCATCACGGATCTCATTTTTCAGGAACACCTTCAGCACATCTCGTAAATCAGACCGGAGATACGTGAGACACCGCCACGGCAAGCCAAACGACGGATGGTGGTTATCTCGAAGAATTTGCGTTTGGTTCTGAATATGGCGATAAGTGTGCAAAATATTACGCAATTCCATCCTCCCTATTCGCACGCGCCCGAGCATCGGAGGCGAAGGCCCTTCGACTTGTTTCGTCTACTTACTACTCTCTGACGACTGTGCTGGGGAAGCAGCATATGCATGTAGGTAATTGGTGGATTTGTTACTTAATTCGACGCTTTTGGACAATGCTGGGCATTTACCAGTTTTTCAATAGTTTCTTAATTTTCTGATCGATTGGTGATAAAATTATTGAAATCGAACCAGGGGGTTATTAACGTTCAAAATCTTTCTTAATTTGTTACATGTTCCATTTTCGGTTTTCACAAAGTGTACCCCCATATAAAAATCAAAGACGTAGTCCTACGTCAAAAAAAAATCCTCGTTCGGAAGGGGAATATATTTTTTGCTGGGTATAAGCATAAATGCTTCTTATGTAAGACGGAGTGACATCGAGTTTCTGCCTAAAGTGGAATGCCTGGATGCAGCAGCAGTAGTAGCTTGAAAAGCCACCAGATCGGTGGAGAAAAAGCAGGACATTAAAAAGTAAGGCCATGACAAAGAACAGAGTGATGCCTGCTTATTGGATGTACGTATGCTGTTGTAGATTTTGAAGGTGCATCGTTTTACAGCAAACAGATACGGATAAAGGAAACAGATGAACGGATAGAGGTGCTGCATAAAGAGGTGGTAAAAATGGATATACATATACGCAATACGAAAAAGAAAAATTAAGAGCTCAATCTCCCTAAATGTGCAAGAGAAAAACTAGTTTCTCGGCTTCGAGAAAAATTGAGCCTCCTAAAAAAAAAACCGTAAGAACAAAAAAAAAAGGAAAATGTCATCACAATAGGCTTCCCAAGCAACAAACATGTTCTACAACAGTTTATATAACCTTTGTATGACTGGTTTTGGTTGTATAGCAGTATACATAATTCTATGAATTTGTGTTATTTGGGTTATAACATGTTATAGCTGTGTAGTCTGAAAATAGCATAGCTTTCTTATTCATTGAAAGCATTAAAAATACCAAAATTATATTTGTTTCAGGTTATTAAGGAGCAACTATCCTCAACGGAGAACATTAATGCTGACATAATCAAGCTACCAATACCCGTTAACTCAGTTTCTCAGCAACAACCAGATACAGGCAAGTGAAATATATTAATTAGACAAAAACACTACAGGCCTATAAAATTTAGCCTCTCGCGGCCATCTTGAAAAACCTAATAATGATTCAGATTTCAAAATTTTGCTTGGCGAGGTATGGTAGTAAAATTGAAAAATGCTTTTATTTAAAAAAAATAAGCAGTACCAGGCCAACATAAAAAATGGCTTTTGACTCGACCATCTCCGATTTTCATGAAACTTTGCATTATTGATTTAAACTCTTTATTTGTTCCAAATTCAAAATAAATTACATTTCATTTCAACCTAGGTACTCAGCGGCGCCGGTGGTGTAGTGGTAAGCGTGATTACCTCTCATCCCAGCAGGCCTGGGTTCAATCCCAGTTGTCGCGCGCCGCGATGTTCTAAGGCATAACATCTCTGATCACGCATTCCTTTGGGAAGTGAAGCCGTTGGTCCCCGGTTCATGAGTTGATGGGTCAATAGATAGGGTCCAGGTGTATGAGCTGCCTTCCTGACATCGGTAGCATTGGTGCTCATCACAGAAAATATGATCGACGGAAAACAAATCAAGGAATAAAAATAAAGGGTTGTGTCCTAGACACGACCGCAGCATGACGTAGAACTACGCAAAATTGATGTATGTCATACATTTTTGACTATTATACTTTATCTTAAATTTTTCAAGTACCTATTACAATGTTTCGGTTCAAAACTCGTGACAATTCATGTTAGCATAATCAGACCACCGTTAAGCTTACGCATAAAATAATGTTTTTAAATTTAATGTAATGATTAAGAATTGACAGAATTTTCCTTACACAACTACATTGGGTTCATCAATGTTGAGCTATTTTGCTGTGATCTATGTGCACTAAATTCGACATCAACATCGACTACAATAGGAACTGACACTGTTTCGTCACACATGTTTTGTTGATTTGCACTTAAGTACACTGAAGTCTTTTTTTACACGGTTTTTTTTACGCGGTTTTTTTACACGGTTTTTTTACACGGTTTTCCACGATTTACACGGTAGGTTTTAACGATTTCTCGACAACGATACAACCTATCGACTTGCTTAAAATCACATTATCCATTTCAAGCTATAGGTAATCAAATGGCATACTTAAAAAAAATCACAATTTTTGGTGTAAATACAGAAATTTTTAAAATATGTCTAAATGGACCATATCATGGTTTAATTACAAATGGCATCAAAATCCGATTTTTTTAAAACATTTAAGCATGCGAAAAATCAAAATCTCATAGGTTTCTTTTTACACGGTACGTATCCTCCGTGTAAAAAAAAGACCTGAGTGTATAGTACACAAAAACGCCATGCATGTTGTGGGATAAAAGAATTCCCAAAAATACCTGTTTTTTTCAATAGCTTCATCATTAATTTTAAATTAGGTTTCTGAACCAGAGAAGAGAGTGAAGGTTGCATTTTATGATAACGCAATAGGCAGTTGTTTTCCCTATCAGAAGACGGTACTTTCAATTTTGAACAAAATGTTGGTTCATATGTCAGTGAAGAATGGGAGGAAGGGGTATAACGATCATACGGGATTTGAGCACCTCTTTGTTCTCCATTGTGGATGACAACCCTAACATAAAACTATCAATCATTATGTACTTTACAGCGAGTAGAATTATGCAAAATAGAATACTGTGACTTTTCCCAAATCAACGTTTGGTTTCCAATATCTAGGTGCTTAGTACAACATTAGTTGAAAATTGGGAGGAGTCAGTTATTGAATTTCAAAGTTAGAGCAAAAGCTCGTATACAGGCAGCGTTGCCAGGTCATTTTCAGAAAAATCTGGACCTGTTAAAATATAAAATCTGTAAAAATCTGGAATGCTCCAAAAAATCCTGTTTTTAACACAATGCACAGTGGTCCAGAATGCAGATTTGGCTGGAATGATATGTTTTGAGCCTGAAATTGAAACTTTAGACTAAAATTCTCTTCTACAAAGTTGTTCCTTATAGTTAGGGCCTCATTTTTATGATAATGAATTCTAGGGTGGTTCCTATTATCATTAAAATCAAACATCTAACTTTTTGGTTTTAATAAATTAAGGTATATATTTTTCGGCAAAGTTATAGCCGAGCTAATTTCAAGCAACTTTGTTGAAAATAACTTTTTTGTATCTCTTAAATTAGCGAGATTTAGAGCTATTTTCTTGAATTGAGTTAGGGTGGCTTTTAAACAGTTTGTTTGTTCTAGTTTTCTTATTTTAAATTTCTCAGCAAAGGTGGAACTTTTAGATCTTAAGAAGGCGTGTTTCTGGAAAAAAATAGTTTTTTAGCACTAACTTTTTTATTTGAAAATTCTCATGAAAGTCATCTTCTAGAGACTTTTAAAACTCTTAAAGACGAATGTTTTATAGCTTAATTTGTTGCCTGTATCTCTTCTAATAAAAAAAGATGTACCCAAATATTGTAAAAAATATGAATAATTTCAAATTGATTTTATACGAGTTTATAAAATAACATACCTCTAATTTTTTCACATTATTGAGAATATGATACGCCCTTTCAAATGCCGTAAAAAAAATTTTTTTTTGTTTCCCCAACCAGAGATATTAACATTTGAAAAGTGCATATTTTTAGTATAAAACGTCAATAGCTCTTGATCGGCAAAAGATATTGACAAGCAAAAATGGAGCAAAAATTTGCGCCTTTTTAAGATCTAAAAGTTATTTGAAGACACATTTGCTGAGAATTTCGAAATAAGAAAACTAGAGCAAAACAACTGTTTTTTTAAGAGCCACCCTATCTCAGCTCAAGAAAATAGCTCTAAATCGGCCAATTTAAGAGATACAAAAAAGTTATTGTCAACAAAGTTGCTTGAAATCAGCTCAGCTAAGAATGTTTACCTTAATTTATTCAAACAAAAGAGTTAGATTTTTGATTTTAATGATAATAGGAACCACCCTAGAATTCATTGTCATAAAAATGAGGCCCTAACTATAAGGAACAACATTGTAAAAGAGACTTTTAGTCTAAAGATTCAATTTCAGGCTCAAAACATATCATTCCACCTAAATCTCCATTCTGGACCACTGTGCAATGCTATTGAAACCAAAATGATTTGCCAATCTCTCAAAAAAAAAAAAAATCGGTCAGTATGATCATCTGGAATGTATTTAAAGTACTAGAATGATTATGAATTAAATGTTTGACCATTACGAATAATTTCATGCCAAAGAATAATTTTATTATATTACTAAAATGAAAGCCTGATAGCGTCATTTTTTAAGTCTCAGGATTTTGAAATGATTTTAAATTCTGTTAGTCTGAATTTACTTGGAACTCTCTACAGGATATCTTCGCCCTTTTTTTGAGCTTCATTTGAATGATCCTAGAATTTGATCATACTTATTTTCTGGATTCGCTTAAAATAATCTTTATAATATCCAAACTTTTCCAGTAACATTCTAAGAGCTCATAGCATTACTTCTGGTAATCTCTCAAAAATTACTCTCCAATTCCACAATTCCCTCAAACTGGTAATAATTCCCAAGAATTGGTAAAATTTTGTGTCCATTTTTCCCTATGAAATTCTTAAAATATTCTTATAATATTCTTAATAATTTCCTTGGTGCACCCTTCAGAATGACTGTCACACTCTTCTCAGACTTATCCGATAATTCCCTTTGACCTGCTTTGTAGGTAAGGTCAGAATTATTTTGAAATCCTTTTCAGTATTTCCTAAGTACTCAAGTACTTTGCCAAAATGGCCTTGGAAGTCTCAAATAAATTGCGCACAATTCCGTTAAAATGTCTTAAAATTTTATTAAAATGAATCTTCATAGAAACATTAGACAGAGTTCCATTAAAATTATTCTAACGATTCGTATCAGCATACTCCTTAAGTTTCATCATAAAATTTTTCTATGATTTCTCTTCCAGATTGTATTTCCTACATTCACAAAATCTCCAAGAAATTGTCATCAGAGTTGACAAGACAATTGACATCGTCTTCAACCAGAGGTTGTACAGACTGAATATTTAACACTAGACAACAGACAACACACCATACCCAGTAGACCAGTAGGGAAATTTTTAGGTTGCCAATATTTGCACCGGCTGGAGCGGGAATCGAACCCTCACATCGTGGCACTCACAGTACGCCTGAACAACGGGTGACGCCGCAAGTTTTGGTGACGCCCACAAAGATGGATGGAGCTCTACTCAGAATTGGCTTGAAGTTCTCCTTTGATTTCCCAAGGAACTCACCTCACATTTCACTGTGAAATATTTTCAGAATTACCTTAAAATTCCAGTATTGTCCAACGTTGATGGCCTTTTATAATTAAAGTAGCAAGTTTGGATATATTAGAGGGTGAATCAATTGCAGTGATATTTTTAAACAACATGTTTAAAAAATCTGGGAAAATCTGGAACATATTTGAAAAATCTGCAAACATACGTGGTCTGTCTGTGTATCTGGCAAGACGACTAAAAACCTGGAAAATCCAGATAAATCTGGAATACTGGCAACGCTGACAGGTTCTCCACCTGTTCAATGTATGGATAGTAAGCATCATAATTATACCCCGTTCACATTACAGCCTATATCACGTAATATAGGCTGCCTTGCAATGAGCACTCATACATAGGATTTCCAGTGAAAACTAGATGTTTGAGTGCTCATTACAAGACAGCGTATATCACGTGATATACGCTGTAATGTGAACGGGGTATTAGGGTACACAGGGGAAAGTTGAAACGGTACGTGTATCTCTTAGCAGAAGTGAATATTCACTGTAATTATTTTTGAGAGGAATTGTGTACTACCGCAAAGAATAATATTAGAAATAATATCCGACGTCCCTCCTTCTTTACATATTCTGCACAAAAAATTCATCCAAAGTTCCTCCTTTTTTACATATTTTGCACAAAAAATACTTTCTAAGCGCCACCCCTGACAGGATTTCCCGCCGTTTGGGGCGGGGCAGAAAGTATCTTTTGTGCAGAATATGTAAAAATGAATGGACTTCGAATGTTAATCT